CCGCCAGCCTTCATCCCACCCGGCCTCCAACGCGTACCAACTCCACCAATGTTCGACTCAAACGGCGAAGTCAAAGGCAAGCTAGCAGACTTCTTCTTCGACGTCCACGGCGGCGACGCAATCAACACACGCAACAAGCCCAAGTCCAGTCCAGGCGGCTACTGGGATTCCGACGCCCTACTCATGAGCCTAGCAAACGACATCGACAACCCCTCAGACGAAGCAGAAGACGAAGGCCCCTCCGGCCCCCGCAGCGATTTCATCAACCCACCCGTTGACTTTGGCCCGAGCAGCACCCTCACGGCAAGCACAAGCAACGAAATCGGCAACGCAGCAGGCTACCTCGGCGTAAAACCACCAGCCAGTCCCTCCCTAGCTGCCACATCTCCCATGCTGGGCCACGACGTCTGGTCCCGCATCCACCAATCGCACTACCCCGACACCCCCGACGAACGCACTCTCGCAGCGCTCGCCCGCCAGGAAGAAGAAGAGCGACGAAAGTTTGAATGGCTCGTCCCTGAACACCTTCCTAATAGTCCGCTGTGTCCTCTGCATCCGAAGTATAGGGGGCCCAGCGCGGACTTGTGTTACTGGCATGGACGCAGGTCTGGTAACGAGATTAGGAAGGGGGAGTATGGGGGGTTGGGGGCGAAGGGGGTTTGGAATAGCGCCAGTGGGAGTAGTGGATATAGCCAGCATGATTATGGTTTTGGGGATAACGGAGTGGCTGGGGGTATACCTAGGCTGGCGGGGACGCCGAGTAGGGAGGTGAAGAAGAGGAGATTGATCAGCTTGTCTAATTCTTAAGTGCTAGAGTTGATGTTACTGTCAAGTTGAAAGGCCTCTTGAGAGAGGTGAAGAGGATCAGACTTCACGACTGAGAGAGAAGTGATGTTTACATACGAGAAGATGAATTCTAGACATGCAATTACCGTCTACTAAACCGTCGTACCTCATGAAATGCGCCAGTGAAGGAGCCCGTCTACCGTAATGCGAGTGCGCTCGGCACCATGCGATGTTGTCCCTCAAGACTTCTTGTACGCACTAGCAGGCTTCGCTATCTTGCCGTGATCGTTCCACAACTGCTCCCTCTCACGAATGATCTGCTGCGCCCATGCCTTAACTTCTTCGCTCTTGATAACATCTGCGACCCACTGGAATTCCCCAAGATCATTCTCGCACTTCGACGTGCGCTCGTATTCGACCATCTGAACGAGAAGCTCAATCTTGTCGATGTCGTGCACAAAGTGCGACTCAGCCGTCTCGCTGTCCTCGTATTCCTGCCATAACGCCCTGATGTCCTGACCGTTGAGTCCACCATTGAACTTGCCGAGCAGGTTTGTGCAGATGTAGTCCATGGTCTCGGTCTCTCTCCTGCTCTTTTCTTCCTTGGAGATTCCATCTACGGGTGTAATGTCGCCGACAAGCGCCTCAGCCATGTCGTGGACAACAGCCATGCGACAGCATCGCGCGATATCGAGCTTCGAGCTTATCGAGGCAGGAGCCATCATGGTGAGGATGCTCATGCGGTACATGTGGTCGGATATAGACTCGCCATCGCCAATTTCGAAACGCTGCCATCCTGCACGTTTGGTCGTCTTTAGGCGCTCGAGGAGGTGGAAGAAGGGGAGCGGTGAGTCGGTGTTTTCGGCGTACTTAAGTGCGTTCTCTGAAAGGACTTTGGGGCAGGTTAGCGCTATGTTGATGAAAGGTATGAGGGGTAAGAGAGGTGTCGCATACGGACGAGCTATTGCTTGTTCATGACATACCACTCTCGACTGTCCACTTCTTCTGTTCTGCTTTCTTCGCGTCAAGTACACCGGCGTTAGGGTCGGGCACGCCGTTAACCTGGGTTGCTTCGTCGACTGTCATGATTGCTTGGTGCCTCGAATGCGGTTCGGGATCTGAGGTTTATAGTGGCCCAGAGGGGTGCGTGATTGTCTTATAAACGGTGACTGTTTGGCGAGTGAAGAATGGCGGGACAAGTGACGAAAGTCAGACAGGGAACAGAAGGCGCGAACGGACCTATCGATAACACCCGCCTTGGCAAACAACGCAAGGGTCCCGTCACACCGCAACACCACGCATGCACCTCAAGTCTCAGGGACTTTGACCAGGGTCGCCGCGCGAGTGCATGCTCTGCGGTCGCGAACATGTCTCGACCGCCCTCAACCGCCTCTACGGCCACCGCGACTACCATGAGCGGCCATGCGCGCACCGCGTCGGTCAAGACAATTCCCAAACCTCAAGCAGTGAACCCAATAGCAGCGCCCGATATACGCCTGTTCGTAACCAATTTGCGATTGTTGGATTTGGATTTGCGACCTGATTGGCCTGAAATCACGATACAAACTTTCTCGGCCAAAAATGCAGACCAGCGACAGAGAATTGGCGGGGCTGAATGGGCACTATTCCGACTATTCGAAATATGGGATCCCAATGAGACAGCACAGGTATGCTGGGATGAAACCTCACGCTGATCTATGTCTGACTCAGCTACAGAAACTCCAGCCCTTCTTCCCGCCACTCGAACCACTCCAATCGTTAAACCTCCGCGCTGCGCTATACCGATGTCTGAACGAATTGAAGAAGAACGGCGCCTTGGGAAGAGAGTCAGTTCTGAGGAAAACAATGCTTGACGAGTGCAAGGGCGAGAAATTCTACGAGATATTGGCTATATTTTCGAATGTCGTACTCAAAAAGGTTCTTGCAGCGCAAGACGGAGGTGACAGAGATGCCGTTGTCGCAAGAAAACTGGCGACAGCGTCAACACTGTCAGTCGAACAGCAACGGTCATTACTGCCCCTAGCTATCGCACACAAGGCCGCGCTCGTCAACGTGCTGAGACAGAAAGAAGAGAAGAGGCTGAAGTACATGGAATTCCATGGTCTTCTGGACAAAAAGGCAGCAGATATTCGGGGTCGCATACGCAAATGCAAAGATACCCCTCGAGCGCAAAAGCCAGCGATACCACCGAAAGAAGCCAATGCCATCAAGAAACAGCTCAAGGACAACTGGGTTGGCAACCGACAGTGGCTCGACGTAATGCTACGCGGCGAGAATGTACAGGCGGACGATGCGTTCCTAAACAGCCGTTTCGACAAAGTCTTGCATATGGTGGAAAAAGGCAGAAAATTAGAAGACGTCGCGCCTGAAACTGGATTACTGGAGAATCTGCAAGCAAGAGTGCAAGAGCAGCAGGAGAGGTTACAAAAGTGGAAGGCTTTCCATGCTGAGCTACAAAGCGACGAGTCAGGGAAGGATACATCAGGAAGCGGACAGACTACGGCGCCAGTAAAGGAGTTTCGCTTCGATGACCACTCGCAATATCAATTGCCGTCGGCGAAGCACACCGCAGAATCTGCGAGTGTAAAGCGGCCGACTATGCGAACAGAATTTCAAGACATCCTGTCTGATATGGACAGTGAGCTGGCACGAGCCGCCAAAGTCAGGGCTAGTACTGCATCTACAATTATACATCCTAGAAGTACCTCGACGGCAAAGACTGCTCGCCCACCACTTCTAACAAGGAAATCTACTCAGACGGAGACGATACGCAAAGCACCAGTGATTCCAGCTAAGCCTGTCAAATTACAGTCACCATCAAGACCAAACTCGTTAGAACATGTCCCGGTCCTACCCAGACCATCTCGGCACGTTCCGACAACTGCCACACCAATCGACTCAGATGCCACACTAATTGGTCAATCATCTGCGTTGAGTAGAGCTACGACCCAGCATGACGCATCGCCGACAGAGACTGATAACGAGCGCACACCAGTACCGAAGACTAGATCTGCTGTTCCCGAGCCCGTCGTCGATAACTCATCGTCTGAAGCTGCCAAGACACTTACTAATTACTCGGAGCAAAAAACAGACCTCTCTCCTGAAAAACTACTTGAGCCATCGCCAGAATACCCCTCTGAACGACCAGTCCCAACTTTTGATCCCCCAGAACTAAATGCTGAAGAAGCACTTGCCGACCAGATCATCAACTCCATCGGTAATGCGACCCCATCTCCGGTCAAGAAGCCCCAACCACGCATGTCCCTTTCACTCATTGAACGCACACGCATGACAATGGCACGGACAAACTCTTTCGAACCTGTTCCAGAGTCACCCGATCTACCGCTGCCGTCTATGGGACCACCACCGATCCCTTCCATCACTGGAGATGAAGACGGCGACCGACGCGCAACACTGGCCGAACGAACCCGGCTCACTATGGAAGCCATGCAATCCAACCCCCGCCCCTCCACCACAGCAAAGAAGGAACAGCGCAAATCTAGCCGATCATCACTCTTCCCCGTCAACCAATTTGATACACCCCGGACCCGCAAATCCTTCGAACTCCTAGAGCAGGCTAAGCTCGACAGTATCGAGCGTACACCTACCGAGCAATTGTTCAGTGACGAAGTGGATTACGATAGGGTGTTCAAGTCAAGACCGAAGATTGCCACAAGTCCGGTTTGGAGTCCTGAAGGCGGCGTTGGTGGGCAAGAAGAGTTTGGAAGTGACGGTGAAGATGTGGATGGTGTTACTGGTATTGATCTGGGAGATGTGGATCAGGACGATGACGGAGAGGATAGATTCAAGGAAAGCTGGATGGATAGTCCTAGTCACAAGAAGGGGGTGAGGAGTATGAGGTATTAGATACGAGAGGAGGTACAATTGTAAATGGCATATCAACATTGGGACCAGCCTTGTACGACCATCCATCTTCCCGTCCCGCTCACGACCAATCCTTCACCTCCACATACGTTCTCCGCTCGCCACGTTTATCCACTTCTCCATCACCAGTCTCAATTCTCGTCTCGTTTTGAGTTGGATCGAAACAAGTCATCTGAACAGTACCGTTACATGCTGGATACAGTTCACGCGTCTTCATATCACAGAACATCTGCTCGGGCTCGGAATAGAAGTCAGGTCCAACACTGCCGGTGCTTTGGCAGATCTCCACTGCACTTTGCGTGACGTCTTGACTCTTGACTAGTACTCCATCAAACTGCCTCTGAAGCGGATGGTCGGGTGAAGTGCGCCGATACTTCGATTTGGGAGTATGGTGGAATGGCCAGTAGGATGAAGAAGATCGCGATCTCAGAAGCGACCGACGCTTTTCCGGCCCGGGCGGACATGAAGGCCTTTCTTCACACTTATAATACCACCAATCGTCGTTAAGACACATCTGATCGTACATAACAATGAGATCGTATCGTTGCTGGTACGTGAAATTGTCGTCCTCGCAGATGTGAGGGTCTGTCGTGCTGTCTTTTGCAGCCGGTATACATGCGGAGACGGTATCCAAAGGGAGACTTGCACCTTTAAGTGGCGCTGGACTGAAGATCTCTGGGCAGAGCATTGGGTCGAGCCTGTCGTATGAGCCGAAACGAGCCAGCGAGTCGCACATTTGTGAGGGGTCTTCTTGCCATCCATGGAAGGTAGTGTTGTCGAGCTTGAAGTCTGGAAGATGAACTTGGAATCCTTCGTAGTGGGTCGCCGCGTCTCCGTCGTCGTCGGGCTTATCGATCCACAGGCATTTCGGTCGCCCGTCTTGCGTCTGTCCGGATTCGGACTTGAACTGGATCTGTGTCGCGGATGGGGACCAGGAGTACTTGTAATCTGGGTTGTGCGTGTTGCATATGGCAGCTACCTCGCCGGGAAGGAATGCGTACGTGTCGCTGCTCGTGGGGTATGTGACTGCTATAGCTGAAATGCAGATAGCATCGGTTCCAGATGCGGACACGGTGATGTACTCGGCTTTCTCTGTTTCGCCTGGCTTGATGTAGTCGGCCCAGATGTCGGTTGGACTGTTCTGGCTAATGACCTGCTTGCATTTCTTGTTCTTGCTGTAGCCAACCCGGTCTCCATTCGCGTTGAAGAGTGACACTTCCGGAGCGCATCCGCCGTAACTCAACTTCTCGTAGATCTCGTCCTTCTTGTTCTGCTCATCGGCATCCAACGGTGGCAGACCGACCAGTACGTTGACCTTCGTTTGTGGCTTGGGGTTGCCGTTGAGCCATTCGGGGACCATGGGAGCAAGACTGATCATGGTGAAAGCTACACTAAGACCGAGCTCGGCGAAGAAACCTGACATGGCGAGAGGTGATAAGGTGTACAAGTATGGAACTTTGAATAGGAGGGAATTCGATAGTACAAGATGTGGTTACTAGGATAAGAATGTTGAAGAGCGTGTGGGATATTTGATAGTAGTTGAAGATTGTAGCGATAACTGATGTTGATGCTCTCATCGACTGTCGCTTTGCTCGCTTCTTATATCTGATTGTAAGAGGACATATAACATGCATTCTCCACACAAGAGATCGCGACGTGTCCCTTTGGCCTCTCGTGTCCTAATGCAAGACCCTCTGGACCCCATTCCCATGATGATGGTGTCACCTACACTGCACGCGTCATGCTCGTTCGACTTTCGTGAGCTTGAGATGCAGGATGCCATCACTGTACTCTCAATTGCTCCTTATGTGTCCTTGTTTCTGCGTCATCTCACTGCATCTGTGGTGTCGGCAATTGTGTCGGCCCCGAGTCGCGACACTGAGCACTCGATCTCCTTTCTATGCCGCAGCCCCAACTCCATTACGATGCGATGAAAACGATCATGGCCCCCTTCTGTGACATGGATTAATTGAACATGGCGCCGTATGTCATCACATTGGTGTGGTAATGGCTCTGCGCCGCCTCAACGTGCGGCGTCTGGACTTGCGGCGTGGCGACCATCGTCACTCACAAGCCGCCCCCGCAAGACCCGGAGGCGACTTAAGCTACTGTTAAGTTTCATCTAGAGATATTCCCACCTCTTCGAAGAGCATACGTGACATCCAGCACGCCGATCGTGTTCCACATAGTGACACTGCCGAACTTCGCCACGGGCCGTCCGCAGCAGATGGACAAAGAACCCAAAAACGGCCTTTGATAACGAGAGCTTATGACGTAGCATTGAGATGCGAAATCTGGCATGAGGCTAGATGTACAAATCTGTTGTCTGATTCGAATGTGACCCCAGGAAAGTTCGGCGGGACGAGACACGCAGAGAAACGACGGAGGAAGACATAAGAGCCACGACTCCTGACCCGACGTCCAGCACATCAGTGATCTACTCCCTTCTTTACCCAAACTCTACTATTAAGATCATTCTGCACATTACATCTTCGTATCAATACACCATCGCCACTCGACAACACCATCAACATGCGTCACTCGGTGCCAAAGTCAATTGCTCTTGGATTGTTGTCCGCATACATCCTCCAAAGTAGCGGCAAACCAATCATACCGATCGCTCCATGCCAGAACGAAGTCGATTGTAGCCACCCATTCAACAACACAAATTGGCCTCGTCTTGCCCGTACTGATGCTCTCCCGCCCGCACTCGACCGCAGAGCCAGTGGCGGAGGACGCCCAACCAAACCCAACGACAACAGTCCCAACGCACCTCATGTAAACCCAGATCAGCAGAACACTCCTTCTGACGCCGGCGATCAGCAGGGTGAGTCTGGGGGGTTCAGTGAGCAGCAAGAGACATCTGGTGGCTTTTCCGATTCGCAGGAAACCGAGGGAGGATTCAACAACAACGGGGAAGGCTCTAGTTCGCAGCCACCAGCCCCCGACCCAGACGCTCAACCAGTAAACCCGGCTCCGGTCCCGAACCCCAACCCGGCTCCAAACCCTAACCCGGCTCCAGGTCCCAACCCAGCCCCGAACGCACCTGCGGGTAATAACCCTGGTCAGCCAAATGCTGCTCAGTGCCCGCCTTCAGCAAGGAACAATCGCAATCAGCCGGCAACCTCCAACGAGAATCCATTCGTTCCAGTAGCAATTAGATCTCCTGCAATCGACGTCACAGCGCGCAGGAACGAGTTTCAAACGACCATAGCCAATCTCAACCTGAACGACCGACCATGGTTCTTCTTCAGCGGGATCGAAAAGAGAGATAGATCTCCACAATTCAGTTCTGGTCTCAGCCAAAAGCTCGGACATGGAGCAGACGGCTATCACTCGATGAGCGACGTGCTACCACTCACACAGGCCGTGAGGCCAGGCCAGACATCATACGCGTCGGAACATGGGAGGTATGCGAAAATGCAGGGGGAAAACCGTGCTGAGGAATATTACTGGGCTGTGAACTCGAAAGCGTTCGGTCAAGCAGTTTCAGGAGATGTTTACGTCGCCCTCCCCGCTGGTAAAAGCGTGAACCAACCCTATGACGACAAACCTTCCAACTGGTGGTCATTCGAACTTCCAGAGCTTACGCGCAACCCTAATGTAAACAGTGTGACGGTCGCGCCTTTCAAGGAAGATCTCATGATCATGTCCGACGACCCCAAAGAATATCTTCACTGGGGGCCGGAAGTACAAATTTGGAGACAGGGTGATGAGCCGATTGGCGTTGAAGCAAACGAGCTCAACTTCATAACGAAACCCGAAGAACAATGGGAGAGGCTTCCTGACGTTGAGATACCGGAATCGGATTAAGACGACATCGATATACGGTTGTGTTAAAAGCTGACGAGAGCTTTTTCGGTTTGGTCGCTGGGTTGAGAGGTTCGTTGTCGGAATGGACGCCGGATCGGACTCGCCTGGTGTATGTCACTCTTCTATTGTCGCTCATTTGTTGTCCGAGTTATCTTATTTCCTTATACGCACTCATTCTGTTACCGTATCCGCATGTATATTATAAACCTACACCCCAAAGAGTCGTATATTTGCCACGATCTAAGAATTGCACGAGGGCGGTCAATGTACAATGTATCGTTACTGGCATGCAAACTAGCCGACGTTGGTATATAGCCGAGTCAACGCTTCAGCTCAGACAATAGCTTGAGCGACGAGAGATGCCAGATCAAAAAGTTCTTAGACGTCTAAGATGATAGCCATGAGCGCATAGCAAAGAGAATTGAAGCAGGTGGAGTGATGTCCTAGGTTGCGCCGCCAGGAGCGCTGGAGCGCTTTGACCCCATACTAACTTGAATCGGCCACTGCAGGGCTAGCGCACTGCCATGCCACCTCGCCACTTCTGCATCGCATCAACCATATCTGCGGGCGCGGCGAGGCATATTTAGCTGCTATTGGCTCGCATCGCAGGGGGTCAATGGCTGCCTCTGTGCCGCACGCGCTCGGGGCCGCATGGGCGATGCTTCCAACATCAGGCGCCTCCCTCAGTACATGGACCACGCTTTTCAACCTGGACCACCTCGCTCCAGCCTGACTTCGCACCAAGTACAGCTCTTTAGAGAAACCCACCAAGCTTTATAGCGATATGAAGCTATTAGATCTGCCCAGAGAGCTTTTCGAAACGATCCTACACTATGCCATTCTCGCCCGGGGAACGAAAAGAGGTTTGCGATTGAGACTGATAAACCGTACGGAAACAGTCTATCATGATCTGAGATTTCACACTGACAGCCGCCAGATTACTTCGCGAGTGAGGTGACGCGTGCACTTCATATCTTCCGCCTACTCGATGGAATCATGTTTCGCGTTCCCTACTCTTGGGAAGAAATCCACTTCTTCCAATCTTATCGAGTATACCGAATCATGCATGAGGCTTTGAACGGAAACCCCTTCCTAAACGATGTCCGGAACGTGGCCCTGCAGATATCCTTGATGAGCGACGCCCGCGAGGAAGATGAAGGCGTTGTTGCGAATGTGGTCCAGACTTGTTGCGCAACGATAGGAATCGGCGCAGAGTCCCGGTCCCGCTGGAAAAACGAATTCAACCGCCCACAGAAGTGGACTTCTCCCGAATTTGAGAAACAGCTTTTTGGTGCGGCGCTTTGTACCAATAGCCTTTCGTACGTTCGGCGGTCTGCGGCGCTACGAAATGCCATGTTGTCAAATCCTACCTGCCCTGGTAATAGCTGCGTATTTGGGACTTTCTTTGAGCTGGCTGGAAAGTTTGGTGACAAGGAACTTCTTGGCTACCTCATGACAAGCGCACCATCCGAGTCCGGCCCAGAGGTTAGGTTCGAGCTTTTCAAACATGCGGCACAAGCTGGTAGGATAGACATCGTTCGGTTTCTCCATGGACATCGTAGCGAAGAGTGGCAATGGAATTTCGAAATTGATGTCAAGGGGAGCAAGAGGCCGCTGAATTTCACTCTCGACGGCGGTCACAATCCTGAGGTTTATGACCTCATCCAGACTATGCGCACGGCTCAAGGCTTGCAACCGACGTCAAGTGATATGATTGACATCAAATTTTACGGCAGCGCAAAAGTTGGGTATATAGACATGGTGTCGCACCTCCTACGCATCGGTGAGTATGACAAGGGATATCGAACTGGCATCCTCCATATAGCTGTTCAGTACGCTAGCGAACGCGGCCACGCAGCTATTGTCCAGCTTCTCTTAGACAATGGTGCGAATCCGAACATCACTCTCGAAGGTGCGGCACGCCGCGGTCACGGGAAGGTCGTGCAAATGCTGCTGGATCGCGGAGTCAAGCCCAGCGAGGCACTTGTCGATGCCGGAAGATACTACAAACCACACACTAAGCTTCTAGCGAACATAGAAAGAGGGCCTTATCTAGACGTAGTGCGGCTACTTCTTGACGCCGGCGTAGATGTCAACGAAAGCATCGGCAAGGACAGCCCTCTCGCCGGAGCAATCGCCGCAGAACATACAGCACTGTTTGAGTTTCTTCTCGAACGTGGAGCAGATCTGCGTTCTCCTGGGACAGCAGAGGAGTGCGTGCGGCGAGCAAAAAAGGATGGGTTGGAGTCTATGCTACTGCTGCTCGCAAAACATGGGATTGATGTCAATGTTGTTTTGGAGGAAGCGGCGTGATTGAACAGAGACGTCAGGTGTATCCGTACGCCGTTCTGTAACGAGCAGAACATCACTTCTACTGAGTGCGCTAAACGTCAAGGAGGTGTAGCGGAAGTGGAAGAGAACACCCATGATGTGTTTTTGATGAACATATTCATGCTCTGGGCAGCTTCCAAGACGCCAGGATGCACAGCAAACATGAGTGTAGAGCTGTTTGAGTACTGGGACGCGAGTTCCGCGGACCAGATCCATTTGAGCGAAAGAGACATGGTTATTGACTGCTATCGTTTTCGGAAGCGCCGACTGAATGAAAAAGTATATTGGAATGATGTGCGTAAGAGAGCCACCCCATAATTCGGATGGCATATTGTTTTGTTGGAAAGGAAGGCGGACACATAGCAATAAACGTAATTGTTTTTAGAAAGTTCGCACAAACCGCACAACTTTTGAAGTGCCTGAGGTTCAAGAAAGACAGGCTACTTTTTATACAACCCGAAGCACAGACGTCTCAGTTACACGTCGCTCCAACCAGGTTTTGGATAGCACACACCAGAGCTTACTGCCTCTCCATGTCAAGGTGCGTGAACTTTTTTGTTTTGGAAGGAACATATGCAGGATGTATGCAGCGCTCCCAATAATTCGACACCTCCACAAGCCCAGGCAAAGGCACATATTTGGGTTGAGTGCAATTTTGGAAAAAGAGGAGGAGGCAGCCATTGCTGAGGTCGTTTACAATTTTCGTGATATGACACAGTAGTGATCTGATGCGCGAAGCATAATGGTAACGAGCAGTAGTTTATACATCCTTCGCCCAGTGGACTGCTCTCGAACGCGCAAAACATGTTGGTAGCGAATTCGAATTTTTGAAGTGGAGAGGAGGGACAGTGCACATTTCGTATGTCGTGGGCCATTTCGGAAAACGCAGAACACACCACAGCAGGACATTCCTCTGACAACGCTTGCTTTGATATACTCTCAGGAAAGTGTGTAGTAAAGATCAGCGTTCCCAGATCCAGATAGAGCGATTATATACCTTCGAGCTAAGGCATGCTAAGCGCAGATAGTGCGCATCAAGTCCGCCAGAAGACAACCACCGACATCGAGCAGTGACCGCTGTCTTTTGGAAAAAGGGTCTGCTTCGTCGTAAAGTGCAAGAACGCAAAAGACGGAGCAGCACATTGCAGACGTAGGTAGTGTCTTGGGAAAGGAGCGAGCGAGGAGCAGAACACATGTAGTCGATTAGCCGTTCTTTTGTTTCGGGAAGGGTCGCTCCGAGTCGCAACATGTAATTGCACTCGTGGTTTTTTTATAGTCGCATGCGCAAAAAGTGGATGGAGAACGAGAGAGGCATGATAGTACATTATGTCCTTTTTCACGCTGCCGCTCAACCATCGCGACGTACTGATTGATCTTCATTGCCCAAATCCTTTTGTAGGAACCAGGACCACAGCTCGCAGACATAGTAGAAGCCGGTTTCATGTTTTGTACGTTGAGGTGTGAAGTTCCGAACAAATCATCGCGGGAATACGTCTAGGTTTTTGTTGAGTCGTTTTGCGAAGACACCGTCGCAAACTCCGCCGCACATGCGCTCGAGAATTCGAAGTTTTGGAGAACGCTCAACACATGTTTAATGTTGAACGTGTTTTTGGGAAACTTCGGAAAGAAAGTGATTGTTAAGAAGAAAAACAGGTCGACACCAAAAAGACTTTTTATATATACCACTCTAGCACAATCGTTGGGACGCATACCTGGCTCTGTTCAGCAGAAGAATTGCGATGATGATCATCACCATTACCATCGCCAGCACATCGCAAAGAATGCATATCCAACTCGAAAACGACACAGAAAAACGGTAATTGTCCTCTGATGGGAGTATGCGCCATGCAATGCTATCCTACCAAAACGCCATGGTCTAAACGCCTTGCACAAATATGAGATCACAGCTCTTCCACTTCCCGCTCAACACTACTCGTCCTCTCACGAGCCTTTGACTTCCCTTTCTCCATGCGAAAACCCACCTCCGTCCTCGCATCGTCTGTAAGCCTTCCCCACTCAAGCAACAGCCTGAACATATACACCTCCATGTCCTCCTTCCTCAAGACCTTCTCCGTCCAAACTTTGCCATCGCGTGCGATCTTCTCTGCAGCCTTGATGTGACCCTCCATCATGCGCTTATTCCTCGCCTCGACGCCATACCCACCGAAGTAAGCGAGCGAAGAGAAGAGATCGTGTAAGCGGAGATCGACAGGAACGAAGTGTTTCCAGGCAGTGAGGCGACCTTCGTACCATTCACGAAAGAGGGCAGCCTTGAAGACCACTGAGTTGGACTGTAAGAAAGGAACGAAACGACCAGAGAAGCCGGCGCCATCCGCGTCGAAGAGGTAGCGGTAGCGCCAGTGCTGTTTGAAGTCGATAGGATCCCCGAAACCGAACTCGCGTGTCTGGTCGATGCAATCTTGGCCTGCACAGCGCGCTATCGGACCCACTAGGCGGACATCAGTCTTTGTCTCGAGAAGACTCTTAATGTCATTAGTGCGCTTCAGCATGTACTCCAGGTGGCCACTATGATCGGGTTTCGGAAGAAGGATCGGTTGGCGGGATGTTTCGTTGTTCAGAAGATGTACGATTCGTTGACGGAGCATGCCCTTCCAAGTGCCATGGGTAGTGACACCTTCCGTGGTCGTCCCGCGCCAGAAAAGGACATC